TGAATGGAATGGAAATGGAATGGAATGGAATGGAAATAAATTTGTATTTGCCAGAAACATTGTAGATCAGGTGTTGCATTTTTTTTTATAGGTGATAATGAAATAGTAACCCCACCCGCGCTATCGGTATAAACCGGCGGGGCACCAGTGAGGGGTGATAGATGAGGATGAAGCAAGTCAGTTAGCCCATCGTAACGAATTCAACAAGAATTGTTCACAATGGTTTCCAGGGGGAACCACGTGGATGTTGATCCGATAGGGCATATTGCTAGCAATGGGGCTGTCAAACTCTATTGCTAACATTCCTTCTCCCCCAGATGTTGCATTTGTCAAGTTTATAAAATGTCCGTATTGTTTCGCCACATCAAATGACATGTAATTATTAACTATTGAATTTACCAACAGATAGGTTATTTTATATAGCTAAATTATATATTTATTTAATTTTCGATTACTTACTACATAATACAATACATTTATGCTCTCATTCGCTTTAAAGGTGTTAATTAACCGACTTGAAAAAGGAGGTACTCCTCAATTTGGACGTATTTTTTGTGTTTGTTACTTCATAACTTCCTAATTTCTAAAATGATTTGGATGTTCTGTCCATATGTTATACTCTGTTACGTCCATGGTACTGCTCATGTCTAAAGGCGACGGTTACCACTTTCCATCAGATGGGCCGTCAGCTTGTTTGCCATTCTAAGTTGTATAAAACAAAATCTTAAATTATCTTAAGGGATGTACTTAAGATTGGTCCCATATAGATTTTATCAAAATAGATTCTGAAAATTAGTTTTTAAGTAAAAATAACTTGTTTTACTAGAATTAAAGTTGGTTTTTCTGTGGGATACATTTTTTTATTATGGATTACATAATTTCTTTAAGTGATAATTCCGTATTGGGCCACAACAGAATATCAGTGTTCTGCTCTTTTGAGGGTAAAGCAATAAGCTGATTTGTGACCATTTTGTATTACTATGGCACACGCATGAAAAAAACAAAGGAAATTGTTGTTTGCATGAAAAAAAAAGCAACAAAAAGCATAATATATAATTTTGCTTTTTGTTGCTTTTTTTTGTTTTTTATTCCTTTATCTCTTTTACTGTGTATTATGTGTACGTTTGCATTGTAATTTGTGTGCTGTAAGTAATGTAAATAAATTATCTATCTATCTATCTATTTGCAAGCCACAAATAAGGAATAGCTTGAGACTATATGTATTCGACTATGTATTTGCCGTATTTATAGTTTGTGTTGTTCCCTAAGATTATTGATTAATTTCTGTCAAATTCCTCACAATGGTCTGACATTATCCTAGCCTATGATCTCTCACAGCTACTTACCAGCGTAAACCAATAGCGAAGGCGGGATTACCGTTCCATTTTCAAATATTTAAAAACCGTCTTTAAAAAATTGTATGATAATTTAAATTTATACTTTTTGATAAATTACTTTTTTATAATTTGGCACTTTTTTAGGCGGGCCAGATGTGAATACACGTCTTTATGGGTCCGCTTGGCTGTTATTTAAAATTTATATGATTTTACACACAAAATCTGTACTATAATTTTATAAAGCTGAAGAGTTTGTTTGTTTGAACGCGCTAATCTCAGGAACTACTGGTTCGAATTGAAAAATTCTTCCCGTGTTGGATAGTCCACTTATCGAGGAAGGCTTTAGGCTATATAAAACCATGCTGCTACCAATAGGAGCGAAGTATCAGTGAAAAATGTTGCAAAAACGGGGAAAATTATTCATATCTGAGGGCTTCCGTTGCGTGCGCTGCGTAAACGGTTCAAGTTACCCAAAAAATATGTATGAAAGAATTATTCCTCTTTAAGTGATCTAAACATAGGCTATATATTATTGTTGACAATTCTATCTGCCCGTGCGAAGCCGGGCTGGATTACTAGTTACTAATAAACATAGTACTATTCTACACTAATATTATAAAGAGGAAAAATTTGTATTTTTGTGTGTATGTTTGTATTGAATAAACTCAAAGACTACTTTGTCGATTTCAAAAATTCTTTCACCATTAGAAAGCTACATTCACTCTGAGTAACATAGGCTATATTTATTGCTAGAAAAGATTAGGGGTCCTTACTAAAACTTTAGTAACGTAACTCAAGGTGTGAAAAAAAAATGCTATATCTTTCGTCGCGTGCGCTACGGAACCTAGTGGTGATTGAACAAAAGTATGTTCTACAATATTGAAGAAAATGTCAATAACTACATATATCTTCGCGATACTATATGTCCAACTATTATCGTTATGTCACAATAACCACTTTTTAAAATGTTGTAAAAATGTCCACCCGTGCGAAGCCGGGACGCGCCGCTAGTATTACATAAACTACTTACATAATTATATGTAACCTCGTCTATTGGAAATTTTTAATTACTTCGTTATAATAAATTTAAAATTAGAGTTTGAAACTCGATAATTACTCGCGACTGATGTTGTAAACATTTTCAGATAAATTTGTAAATTGTTACGCAGTTTTTGGGAATCAATTAGTATTTTAGAACTTTTTTGGAGACGGTAGATAGACGGTCTGTGTCTACCTACCGTCTTTTAAAGTCGAATAGTTTTGCAAGAAAATAACTAATTGAATTAAATATACATACTTACTAGTATATTAGAACAGAGAGTGTATGAGATGTACTATTTTAATGCTTTTAGTTACTTTTTATTTTGTTAAATATAATTGACCAGAGGGAGACTTTGTACAAAAGTCGATTGCTTGGGTACCTATGTCCCATTCGTGTTTCAACCGTGAAGCAATTGTATTTGCATGCCTGTTTCGATTTAAAGGGTGGGATATGGCAGTGAATTTACAGGGTACACAGGAATAACACCTGAGTCCTCAGGAATAGCAACGTATGGGGGGTATCGTGGGCGAAACAGTATACTCTGTTATGTCCACGGTACTGCTCATGTCTATAGGCGACGGTTACCACTTTCCGTCAGGTGGACCGTCAGCCTGTTTGCCATTCTAAGTAGTATAAAAAAAGAAAACTTACAGAGGTGAATTATGTGTATTGGCGACGGTTACCACTTTTCATCAGGTGGGCCGTCAGCTTCTAAGTTGCATAAAACATAATCTTACACTATTTAATAGGGCAAGTGTAAAAAAACTATAAAAAAATAGGTTGAAATGGGAGTCTATTTTCATAAAAGCCTATAAATTGGTTTCGAAATGGTATCGTACTCGTTCAACGTAATTAAAAAATACGAGACAAATTGGGAATATCCACATTTTAGAAGTTATTTAAGAGGAAAATTAATAAAGTTGCACGTTTACTCCACTTTTAGATCGCATTCCAAACAGGTGATGAAATAAAAAAAAAGAAACACGTATCATAAACGTGCATGCTTCAACACGAGATATAAACATGTCTGATGTACGTACTCGCTGAACTCTCATTAGCTCCACCATGTAAATGCAGTCTGTTTATCTGTCTGTCAATATCTCGACAGTTGAGCAAGAATGCGCGCGTACTGATACCAGCATACCATCGTTTGTTTGTCATTGAGTAAGTTTATAGGTATCTATGTTTTATTATTAAATAGATTTTGAATATATATTCCATTGTACTGATTTAAGTATTTCTTATTTTAACATTTATTATATAAGTAGGTAGGTATTATATGTATTTATAGTGTATGGATTTATGTAATATTTTATTATATATTTTAATATTTTATTTAACTGTATATTTGTTTATGTATTAATAGTTGTAGCACTTCAGCTGCCCGCTAACGAAATGCTTTCTTACTGTACTGGGTTGACTGGAAGAGATCTCTGTCAGAGATAAGTCCACCCTTGCTCACAATATTTATAAATACATTTTATATGTAATTTACAAGTGCAATAAAGAATATATATATATATATATATATATATATATAGTTATATTTAGATAGATAGATAATTTATTATTATGCATTATTTACAGAACACAAATTACATTGCGTACAACGCGGTTTCAGAGATGTTTCCTCCCACGAACACTCAGATTATGATGATGAGCTCCCTACCGAGGTTTTCCCAAGAGACTACAGCATGGGGTTCTTCAAAAGGGGGGGGGGGGTAAAAAGTTTCCTTGGGGGTCGGCAACGCGCGCGTAATATCTCTGGTATTGCAGGCGTTCATAGGCTACGGTAACCGCTTACCATCAGGTGGGCCGTATGCTTGTTTGCCAACTCAGTGGTATAAAACAAATTACAACAGACATAAATACACATACAGAAAAAACGAGATAAATATATATACAAAAAGATTCATAAAAGTGTGACATAATTTTATTTTATTTATAATTTTATTTATAAAAATAATATGTACTCACGTATGTTCTTTAATATCTTAAAATAGATATAAAGTACTTATTTCTATTTTCTATTTAACATATGATTATTACGTTTATTACTCTGGTTAACCCATTAAAACATCGTTTCTTAACCGTTTGGTCGCGACCTATAGGGGAGGGGGGTCGCATTTGTTATTAAAAGGGGGTCGTAGTCAGTTAAAAAATAATAAGACCTTGTTATTGAACTTCAACAACAAACTAAAATAGAAAAAATTGTTTTTAAACGTATAAATAAACTTTTAATTTAAACATTATTATAATTTCAAAGTGTCGAGGTCACAATAGTTTATTTATTTTTTTCGTGGGGTCGCGACATATAAAATGTTTGAGAAACAATGCATTACAGATTCGAGAGTATATTTTTTGAATTCATAGAGATTACTCCGAAATTGCTCAACCGAATTTACAGATATTTTATAAATGTACTACTCCAATTAGAGAGTTTGAATATTGTTTTATTTTGATGACAGAATCCTGTAGGTGGCGATACTGGGGAAAATAGTTTTCTGGGTCAATTAGTAAATATCTACATATGTATGTTTTTAGTAGCCATTTTTTTATATGTACATTTTTATTTTGCGCATTTGGCCTACACTTGTCATATAGGCCGTGTCGTGTAGGCGCCGGCTACGCTCCGCCACGCGCCTCTACACGAGGTGTATCAAGAACTCGCCTCGTAGCGGTCAGTCTACGCTTAGCGCTCGCGCGTACGACACGTGTCGCGCTGTACTACGGAAACTTTGTGAGTTCACGCGATCTCGTTCTAAACTTTAGTGAGTTCGATTATAAATTGGTTGGTTCGATTCTTAATTTGCGAATGGAGTTTGCGGTGTCTACAGAGTCGGGCCTGCTGTAACTGAAGTAAGTGTATACTTTAGACAGCTTGACGATGATTTGTGTATATTATTAATTTCGTTTAAAAATGTCTAGTTTTTTTGAAAAAATATATCAATTAATACGATCGATTCTAATGTACTATTCTTCACCTTTTAAATAAAAATTTCGGATTCTCTTAAATTATACTTCAGATTTGAAATAACAGCGAAATCCTTATTTCAAAGATTGGCATGTAAAGTTTTTTAAAGATTTGCATTCTAACTCTAGTACTTAATTGCTCTTAATACAACAGTTTCAATAAACTATCAAATTAAAATTTTTACTTTAGAAAATATTTTATTACAAAATCGACTGTAATGTGAGGTACTGAAGATCACAAATAATTATCACTGTGAAATATATCGCACGAGTGAAAAGTTCAGATGTTTCAAATACATGAAAATCATATAATAATAATCATAACCTTCAAGAAAAGAGTATATTCCTTTTTAAAAGGCCGGCAGCACACCTGCAATGCCACTGGTGTTGTGGGTGATCATGGGCGGCGGTAGTCACTTACCATCAGGTGAGCCGCATAAAAGCCACAAAAAATAACATAGCAACAGGTGCGAGCCTGTGAAATTATTCGTGAACAATTGTTATTTATTGTATTAAATTATTATTTTCCTTATCATTTGCATATGTATCTATCTACTTATTATACAAAAGCGAGAAAATATTGAATAAAAAACAAAAGAAATGAAATAATAAGTGCCTTCTTACTTCAGCCCATGATTAGTTTAAAAACGTTTAATTTATATCAGAATTAAAAAGCTTATCTGTATTTTTTTAATATTGTATTAAATTATGAAGTTTTCAACTAAATATATGTAACTATATTAATAAAGTGTAAATTTGTATTTTCTCCATTTAAAAATGCACTTTCACCTTATCGTACTAATGTTGATTATTGCTTTTATTAATAATTAGAATTATAAATAGAAGCAATATAAGGATATGTTAGGAGTTTAGAGAAGAAGATTTACAATTACATTGTATAAGATTTTTTTAAGAACCGTTTTTGATGATTATTTTTTAACTGAATGAATGCCTGTATTATTATACAGTATACAGTACTGTACGAGTAATTTAGTAAAATTTGTATGATATTTATTTTTTACTATTATTTTTACGTTACTTTTTTATATTAACTTTCTCAACTTATAATAGAATTGTTATAAATATTAATGATTTAATACAACTTTTGTTTAAGTCTACTAGTCTAATTTTTTTTTATACTACTTAGAATGGCAAACAAGTTGACGACTCACCTGATAGAAAGTGGTAATCGTCGCCTATAGACATGAGCAGTACCATGGACATAACAGAGTGTACTGCCCATGATACCCCCCATGCGTTGCCATTTCTGAGGACTCAGATGTTATTCCTCTGTACTCTGTAAATTCACGCCATATCTCACCCTTCAAACCGAAACACAGCCATGCAAACACAACTGCTGTACGGTTGAAACACGAATGGAACAGAGGTACCCAAGCAAACGACTTTTGTACAAAGTCTCCCTCTGGTATTACACAACCGTATTACAGTGATATTATAATACGGTTGTTTTGGTGGGAAAGGGATTGTTAGTAATGAGATTTAACAATCTCATTGCTAGCAATACATCCTACCAGGTCGACCTCCGCGCGGTTCTCCATGGAGACCATAGTGGTTAATTCTTGTTCAATTGGTCACTATGGATCAACTGTCATCGTCATCACCTGTCACCCTTCACTGGTGCCACGGCAGCGTATACCGATCGCGCAGGCGGGGTTACCTCTCCATCATTACCTAAAAAAAATTATAGTTTTTTAAATATATTTGAAAAACACAATTTTGTACACGACCGGGCCCAGTACAGGCGGGAGGTGCGTTTGTAATTTGCACACGTGTAGAGTGCTGATAGGTTATCTGCAATGTAATTAACGGCGGCTGTTTGCCGAGTCGATAATCTCTGTTCATATTAGTTCGCCCCGTGATGTTTGCGCCTTTTGCTATAGTTGACAATTGTATTATAATATTAATATAAGGGAAACTTCCATAAATGTTCCATATATATATATATATAAATACTAGCTGACTCGGCACACATTGTTTTACCATATACATTATTTCCAGAACTATATATGAAAATTTTATCGTACTATAATTATTATATTCGATTGCTATCTTGTAACCCTATTGTGGCATATTAAAAATCGCGATTAAAAAACAGGGGTTGATCGTAAAAGCGTGAAAATTTGAATTTGTATGTATTTTTAAATGCTAAGTTAAAAAAAAATTGTCAAAAAAATAAAAATAAAATATTTAGAGGTGGGTCACCCTTATCATTGAGGGGTATGAAAAAAAGATGTTGGCCGATTCTCAGACCTACCTGATATGCACACAAAATTTCATAAAAATCGGTGAAGCCGTTTCGGAGGAGTTTGGTAACAAACACTGTGACACGAGAATTTTATATATTAGATATTCTTTATTGCACTTGAACAATAGATACAGCGGTTAGTTCAACAACTTGTTAGCAAGGGCGGGCTTATGTCTAAAAGACATCTCTTGCAGCCAACCCAGTGCAGTTAGAGAGAAAATAATTAATTGGCGGGTAATCTGGTGCAGGAAATGTACAGGTAAAAATAATGTAAATAAATAAATGATAAATATTTTCTATTTATAATATATGCGTAACTATAATTTTACGAACTTACTATGTTATTTCTGACCATCGTTTCGTTTTCATCTGGAAGTTATCTGGCTCTTACCAGTAGAAGAACGCAGAGTAGGTTACCACACCATTTTTATATTAAAAAAAAAACAATTCTGTTTATAATTACTCCTCTCCATCCAAAGGTTGCCTGGAAGAGATCGCTCTTAGCGATAAGGCCGCCCATTGTTTTCTCATTGTGATTATTTCTTGTAATTGTTTATATTTATAATAAGTTTACTATTGTAATCTTTAAACGAGGAAACAATAAAGAGTATCAATTTACTATTTGTGACCCGTGGCTTTGTATTCAATTGCATAATATGATATATGGGCGTGCTGTTATTATCCCACCTATCCATCTAACGGCCATCTGGCGTTCGTGTGTTAGCGCATTCTTCGTTTGTGTTAATGCATCACGTGAAAACTACGTAACTGATTTTGTTGAAGTTTGAAACATTTTCGTAAGTAGGTGTACCTGCGTTAGTATTGCCACATTTAGTTTACAAATTAGTCGACATACTTGCAAAGTCTCTCTACATGTCTGTACTAATATTATAAAGAAAAAAGATTTGAAGTTTTGTGTGAATGCATGTTTGTAATGAATAAACTCATAAACTACTATGCCGATTTTGAAAATTCTTTTACCATTAGAAAGCTACATTTACCTTGAGTAGTCTATATTTATTGCTAGAAAAGATTAGGGATCCTTACCAAAATTTTAGTAACGTAACTCAAGGTGTAGAAAATGCTATCTTTCGTCGCGTGCGCTGCGAAAACTATTGGTGATAGAACAAATGTATGTTCTACAATATTGAAGAAAATATCAATAACTACAAAAAACTTCGCGATACCATATGTCTAACTATTATTGTTATGTCACAATAATTACTTTTTAAAATGTTGTAAAAATGTCCACCCGTGCGAAGCCGGGACGGATTGCTAGTTTATAATGTAAAGGCTATTCAAATTAGTTCTGATTTCTGGCCAATATAAACCATAAAATAGATTGTAGGCTTGCAGAAACAAATATTTGGATTAAAAAATAATATAAAAAAATATTCCAACACATTATTTTCATGTTAGGAAAATTATCAGATTTGCAGATTTTTTTTGTATTTGTAGATAGCAGGCCTTATAAATATAGGCCAAGAGTCACATGCGACCCTGGGGTCGTGCTTTGAACAACTCTGGTCTTAATAATTGAATAACTATACGTTTTTCAAGGCACTTTCTTCCACATACAACCACGCTTTGGAATCAACTTCCAGCAGCAGTATTTCCGAACCGATACGACAACATAACCTTCAAGAAAAGATTATATTCCTTTTTAAAAGGCCGGAGCTTATAGGCGGCGATAATCACTTACTATCAAGTGAGCCGCATGCTAGTTTACCCCCTGTGTTATATAAAAAAAGTCAGTTAAAAATTAAAACTTAATGAAAAAGGGGGATAGGAAAAAACCTCAAAATAATGATAGGGACAATAACGGGCCATTGTCCATTAAATAAACATTTATACACAATAGGAGCCACAGACAGCCCTCTATGTCGAGGCTGTTTCGACGCCGAAGAAACGGCTGCTCACGTAATCGTGGAACGTGAGGCTGTGGCCCATCAACGTTTAGAAATCCTCGGAACGGTGAGGTCGCTCCGTGAGGCCTGTGAAGAACCCAGGAAGCTTCTGCGCTTCTGGGCGGAGCTAGGTTGGCTGTACTAGCCACGACTCATACGCACAACGGCCCAAATGAGAGGCTAAGCGCGGAAAATAGTCTTTTTCACATTTACATTCACAAGGGGGATAGGATCTATATGGCGTAATAACTGAAAGCAGTAAATTATCTATTTATTATATATCTAATAATATCTACGAGTATATTCTAATAATTAAGATCATTGGGAACAAACATATTTACTATATTTTATTTATAACATTAAACAGAAAGTAAGATAAAATGTATTTAGTTGTAGAGTTGTGTTTAGTAGTACCTAGTAACGTATGCGCTCCATAAATTAATAAATTAATAACCTACTTCATAAAAATTAATACAGTAATAGTACATTACTGCAGCGGCCAGCAACTGAGGCATTGATGGACTAACGTGCAAATGTGGGTCGAGGCGTAGCCGAGGCACACATACGTGAGTCCATTAATGCCTAGTTGTGGCCAAGGCTTGTATAGTTTTTTTCTCAAACAATGCGCGGAAATCAAAAACACAATTTTACTTTTTAAGCTCAGTGACGAATAACGAACAATAATAATTTTTCAAACGCTATAATGTTCCCTT